GAAAGATGAGCCAATAGATGGTGATTATGAAGTTAGCCTGGAACACTTGAACTTTGATTTGTTGTCAGAAATTGATTCTGCCATGCCTAAAATATTGAGTGATTAATTCTATATTGCTGCTGCTAGTTTTACAATTTAAATCTAACAAATTCATGCACAACATGTTTTACTTTATAATCTCATTTTTATTATTTTTATATTTTGTAGTGACTTTTAAAGTTTGGTCATAAAATTATAAATGTTATACTTGTCACTACATGTACTTGGCATTTAATTTTTATTTTGCAGCCACCAGTTGTTGTTGAACTACTTGAGAAAAGTCCACCCTCATCTGGGCTATACCCTCTCGCCGTTACCATGACACCAATGACCACACCTACCTTAGTCCTACCAGTCACCTTTGATTTGATTGGTCTGTTCTGCAATGATATCGACACTCGTCTGGTTGCTAAGCAACTGAAAAACAGACTACAGGAACAAATCAAATTAATAGCACAAACCATCATAGTATGAACTCTCTCCTCTCTTTATAATTTATATATATTATTATTTTTTAGGTTGATAAAGCTACTAATGATCAAGACATTCATTCAGTTTCTTTCTTTCATTTCAACTTACCCAATCAACATGTCCCCATCACTATCCCATACCCTTACCTTCCTCTCTCTACTGATACCAGCATCATCCCTTCTCCTCTTCCTGACTCTTCTCTTCTCTCTCTTCGAACTAAACTCCATCAAACCTTTTGCCTTCCAACTAATCGACCGTTTCTACGAAAGACTAACAGACAATGGTCACCATGGAAACAGGAGACACGCCTGTTTGATCCACACGTGTCATTAAATTTGACAGAAGGTTCTAAATTAATGTTATTTATTTATTATTAATATTATTAGGTGGCGAGGGATTAGCTTTAGTGAATGGCAGTTATCTTTATTATCATTACATGCAAGAAAAGTTTAATGACAAGGTATGAACTCTCCTCCTCTATATTACTTTGTTTCTATCCCTCATTCTTAAGGGTTGGGGTTGTGCTTATAGATCACTACAGACAATATGGTCTTGGTTTCGTTGTCAAGGCTACACTGATGTACCTGTTCCTACCCACAGGGAGATACAGGAGACGCTGGTTGATTGTGGGGATAAAGAGGTGAGGGAGAGAGAGAGAGAGGGTGGGGTGGAAAGTTTATGAAGTAATATTATAAAAAACCATGATTCTGAAAAATACCCTGTACTATAGCCCATGGTTTTTCCCAAAAAATGGCTCTGAAATCACCCCCGATTTTTATTACATTTTTTGATACATATTGATGTCCTTATGCTATGTAGAAAGTTTGAGCTGATTCCAACTTCAAATTTTCAAGTTATGGCTATTTTAAAAATTGGCCAATTTCTGAAAGCTTCCCTGTACTATAGCCCATGGTTTTTTTTC